CCTCCTTGGCATTTGCCCCTCCATTAACTTCTTTCCAATTTTATAGATCAAGTAAAGGGAATAAAATATTCTAGGAAATTGGAAGTTTAAATAATGTGGCAGTCTCAATTTTTTTCACTTCAGATTAATATCACTGAGTTCTCTCATTATCTTCTAAGGCAAAACAGGATTCCTTTGCCTGAAAGTTTTTTCACATCATTGCACTCAGACATGTGCCTTCAGACTACCTTCCTATCTATATTTACCCAGGAAAGAATTTTATTTCTTTCAGGGTTTGTCCCATAATAGCAAATACTTAACTAACCTAAAGTTTGAATTGGTGGCTTTATGTGCCCCGTCTAAACTCTAAGCATCACGTCAATTGGATAAACAAGGTCCTTGAAATTTTACTAACTCGAAAACCATCCTTAAATATTCTTAGAGCTATCATAAAATTAGTGAGTAAAAAATAAAAATTACAGGGTTACATAATTTTGGAGACAAAATAAGAATTATTCTAACATTGCACAAATTATTTTGTTTTCCCATCATTACAGGTTCATGATGTAAGAAAGAAAATTAACATTAACCCAGGTTTTGAAAGCCATTTAGCTGAAAAAGATTTACTTTGGCTAAGGCATCGATACATCCATGACCCCGTAGCCTTTTGTATTATTTTCTCTACAAAGATAATTACCCTTCTCCCTTCTCCCTTTCCCTGTGGAAACCAGATTGATAGTTCAGATGTCATAGTCATCAGTATAAAGACCCCATATAACAAAATATATCCTCTACATAATACCCAGAGGAAATTTAAAAAGAGAAATAAAGTTATCACTTTTTGCTGTTTTTGGCCTATAACTTAATTACATTAAGTATAATAATCTGATTCTATTTTATTCTGGTCATGTGGCCAAGTGTATATCATCACAGGAATGGTATTCCACTATTTAGAATATATCCTTAAATATCTTTAAAAATTAACCATTAATGGGCCCATTCAGTTAATGAAGGGATTATTATGCCCTAAAGCTATATATGAAATTTAGAAAAATCTGAAAGAACAAATAAATTTAATGTTGAAAAATAGAATTGGCATAAGTGTCAAAATAAGTAATCAGTAAACAACTTAAGAAACATAACCCAAGAATATTTCTATTCAGAATTGACACTACTGGAGGGAGAGGGAGGATGGGAGTGAGAACAAAGAGCAGAAGTGAGTGGTCCAGTGGTCTCAGGTAAAGGACTATAGGTGTTTTGATGGTGGGCATGGTATGGTGACGTACATCTGAGAAAGTGTGAACCTATTCCCCTACATCACATACAGTGTTGTAAACCAATGTTATCTCAATTAAAAGAAAAAAAGAAAAGAAACTATAGAAAGAAGAGGCTATAAAAAAAAGTCTGTAGATATTCTCATGGGCAAAAAAAAAAAATAGGCTATGTAGACTAGCAAAATAGAATAGTAATAGACTAGCAAAATAGCTGTAATGTTTTCTCCCTAAATAAACCTTCCAATTTCAATCTCCATACACAGTGTACTCTGCTTTAGACCAGTGACCTTAAAAGGCAGCAATATCTGCCTAGTTTTCCATTGCTGCTTCATTTCATAGATATATCACTCCAAGAATGGCATGAATATGTAGAGAATTCCTGGCATGTAATTTGCTGTATGAACTCATAAAACTTTTGGAAGGGTGAACCTAGAGGGTATAGAAAATGCCCTGAAAGCAGTTCTATTTGCTATGCCCTAGAATTCATTCAAAATATGGTCATTATTTAGATACCATGGAAATAATGGCTAGCAGAAACTGTACATAGATATTACCATTTCTCCTGAGAGTACAATCCATCTTCACTCCTCTCCCTATATACCCATACAATCTTGAGAATATTTGTGGTTGGATAAGTTTCTTAGCTACTTAGATCAGGTTTTACTTCTCTCAGGTCAAGTATTTCTCAATTACAGAAACTATTGTATTTTTGTCTTTGGATGATTTCATTCTCACCAATGGGCTAGTTGAAATAGCAGGAAGTCTGAGAAATTTCTACAGTATAAAAGTTTCTGAAGTCTTCACATATGTTTAGTCATTTGTTTGATTTTTGCATTTTTCCTAAAACCAGAGAACTACCTGTTTAGTCAGTACTAATGTAGGTACACATGCTTATGGAGTGTGAAGGAGATTTATTTTTTCTTCATTGAGTGACATTCCATACTGGCAAATAAGGAGTAAAATTCTGAAGGCAACTCCTTACCTGCCATGCCAGAAGACAGGTTGGTCCATTTCTCATAGCTGGGTGTATGCTATGACATCTATATCTGCTCAGGCCCAATCCTGACCTGAGAAAAGGGGTTTTGAGCAGCAACAATTCCTCAATCCACCTTCTTATTCACAGTGTAAAAATAGGCTTGGTTGGTTTCTCCATATTCCACAAAAGATCAGATAAAGTCAAACCTTAAAACTAACCCTTCAAAGCTGACCATAGAACTGAGGCATCCAGAGAGGGAGGAAGAAAGGAAGGGTGAAAACAAATTGGGGAGGGAACAAAATGGTCTATGGTGGTGGACTGTGGGTGCTTTGGTGGTGGGTACGCAATGGTGACTGCAACTACAGGGGGTGGAGGAGATCCTATATTTATAAAATACTAACAAAGATTAATTTTTTTATGTGGCTGCATTCACTTTTTTTAATTAATATTTTATTTTATATAATTCTCACATCATTTTTCATTTTTGTACAATGTATGCATTTTCATTTTCGTTATATTCCCCATACAATTGCACCCCTCCTTATTTTGACCCTAGTCCTTCCTCTCCCCTTCCCTCCCCGCCCCACCCCACCCTGTCCATAGTGTGTCTCTGGTTTATAGTTGCTTGTTGATTTTGATTTTTACTTACTAACAAAGATTTAAACCAAGGGAACTTTAACAAAATTTTTTAAAGAAAGGAAACAGAACTGTTTAAAATATACTACTAAAGAGATGTTCAGACTATATCGAGTGAACAAAGCATGAATAAGTAAGATATTTATACATCTGTGTATGTATATTATATATCTGGATCTCCAATTTGTAAAGCAGATGTATTATTTTGCTAGGGCTGCCATAACAAAGTTCTACAAACTGAATGGCTTAAACAACAGAAATCTATTGTCTCACAGCTCTGGAGACAAAGGTGTTGGCAGAGTTGGTTCCCTCTCAGAATTAACCTCTGCCTTCACCTTCATATAGCATTTTCCCTGTTTGCATGGCTCTGTGTTCAAGTTTTGCCTTGTTATAAGGACACAAGTCATATTGAATTAGGGCCTATTGCAATGGGTCAAAGAGCAAATAGTATTTATTTTATTATGTATTTAATATTGTAGCAGTTGCTAGAATTAGAGATGCTACTTTATTTGTTTCTCTTTTTTTTTTAAAGATTTATTTATCTATTTATACAAGCACTGGGTACAGTCAGAAGCTCGTGAGGGTGAGAGAATTCACCAGAGCCAGAGCAGGGATCAGAACAGGCAGACTGTCGAAGTACACTGCTGAGGGGAGCAGAGGGCGGCAGGAGATGTCTGCGTGCCATGTGGGACCCTTGCAGGTGGCTGGAGATCCAACCGGTGCTGCAGAGGCAGTGGGCAGCTTCGCAACCCAGAGCTCAACAGCTGTGCCACCAGGGGAGGCCCTAGAGATGCTACTTTAATAATTAAAACATATATTACCTCCACAGGGAATGGTTTGGAAAGAGGATAAAGATGATCAATTCAATGTGACCTGTCCCCTGCTATTGATAAAAGTAACAGAATGCTCTATCCAGTCTATCCCTTCTGAAAAATCTTTTGTATTCTTTATTTTTAAGATCTGATATCCTCATCTTTGAGTAGATTATGTCTGTAGCTAACTCCACAGTTTGAAGTCTGAAGCAAAAAGTTGTTTGAGATCTACTCTTCTCAGCAATAATTACATCAATTGTGAATGATCTCTCAGAAATACCCAATAATAATTTTTACCTCTTCAGTTCTAATTGAGTTTGGAGTTCTTATCTTTATGGTTCATGATAAACTATAGCACAAAAATATGATTTCCATGTCACTCTTTAGATCACAAATTCAAAAAGAGACTTGAGAAACCTATACCAAACATAAATAGCAATAACAATGATAAAATTTTGAGAATTTCAACAGGAAGAGTGCAAAGTATGTGTGTACACCAACTCTCACAGAATATATTAAATTTAGCTGTTGTTGCTGAGAAGTCTGTGGGATAGGCAAACATTCTGTCAGCCCCAATTACTTCATAGAGCCTTTTTTTTGTTACTTCAGGCCCTCTGCTGTCTGACTTTGGCACTCTGCATCAGCCAAGATGCTAGCTGAAAAAGATTGAGGGGCAGGCCTTGCACTTGAGCCTGGGAACTGTCACTCTGTGTCTCTTTAGACTTTGTGACAAGGTATGCCTTTCCAGTGGGCTGTCAGTTTGATTCCTAACTTGCCAAAGCAGCTGTGTGCACAGAGGTCTTTGAAAAATTATAGAAAGAACCTGATCTAGTCCTGTAAGTGATGACACAAAACAGCCATTGCTTTGAGAGTGCGGGGGGGTGAAGGGGAGAAAGAGAAGTATAGAAATAATTAAGTGACTGAATTAACTCACTTTGTGACCAATAACTGGGAAAAAAAAAAAGCCGTCACCATCCAAACTCATAAATTAACAATAAATGATCCATGTCAGAATCTGAAATCAATTTTAGTGGCTGACTTAATGTATTGTAAAAGGATGTTGAGTTAGCAGGTTCCTTTGGCTTCTATTACATTCAACACTACTGGGGGGAAAAAAGCCATAATTTGTACCAACTCATCCCGTGAGCAGCAAAGCAAAATTCATTCTTGTCCATAACATTTTCCCCAGGGTTAACTTAATACCCTTCTTACTTCAATTAGAGAGATATTTAAAAGAGCAACCCAATGATAGCACCTGCATATGTTTCTCTTTAGTATTTTAATATCAAGGCAAAGGAGCAAAGAACTTCAATATAACTGGAAAGTTCTTTATTTTTTTTTTAATGTACAATTGCTTTTTTTTTTTTTTAAGATTTATTTATACAAGCACTGGGAACAGTCAGAAGCGCGGGAGGGTGAGAGAATTCACCAGAGCCAGAGGGGAGAGCAGAGCAGGCAGACTGATGAAGTACACTGCTGACCAGCGGGCAGCAGGAGAGGTCTGCTCATCATGTGGGACCCTCCCCCGGCGGCCGGGGATTGAACCTGCGTTGCAGAGGCCACGGGCAGCTTCGCAACCCAGCGCTCATCCGCTGCACCACCAGGGAGGCCCGAAAGTTTTTTAAAAGTCTGAAAGAAAAAGGAAACATTCCATTCTTTGGACAGGCAGTGATAATAAAGGTATGACCACAAACTCAATATCATTTGATGTCGCCATTGCTTTTTTTTTGCTGACCCACACACCAAAGAAGTTATTTCTTCAGTCTCCTCTCCCAAAATGGAATCAGGATTTCCACTGCTCCATCCCAACTGATTTTCCATCCCACAGCATGGGGTAGTCTAACTATGCACAGAGACATGGCCTCCCATAAGCAATGGACAGTAACCTCTGTGGAGTGTCTAGGATATTGACTCCAAATTATCAGGAAAGGAAAAATAAAGCTGGAGACTATGTAGTCTCAGGATTTTTCAGTTGGCACTGGAGTCCTCAGAAACCAAGAACCTGGTTTAAGCAATTTGTAGACTTTCGAGATTCTTGTAATGGCTACCATCATAACTCAGTTTCCTCATCTGCAAAATGAGAATAAATTATACATCAAAGGACTGTTGTGAAAATTAAATGAATTTATATTCATAAATCCCCTATAGTCAATTCATTACTATTCTATGAGTATTAGTTTTTATTTTTTAATATTTTATTTTATATAATTCTTACATCATTTTTCATTTTTGCACAATGTATGCATTTTCATTTGGGTTACATTCCCCATACAATTGCACCCCCCTTATTTTGACCCTAATCCTTCCTCTCCCTGCCCTGCCCCCATTAGTTTTTATTTTCAATCTAACAACATATAATTACCTTAATCATCTATTTCTTTAATCAAAATTTACTTCCTGCTGTAAATGATGAAAAAATTCCTATAGTTTTTATTTCTTCATAACGTTCCTCTTTTCTGTCTGATCTTGGTTATGTTAATAAAACCTTTATATTCTTTTAAAAATATACTTTTAGGGGCCCTAAAACCTGTGGCACAGGGGTTAAAAGCCTCAGTGCTATCAAGCTATGGGCAGCCACTGCAGCACAAATTTTATCCCTGGCCAGGAAGCTAACCCACATGGCCCAGCAAACCTCTCCTGTCCCACCTGCTGCTCCCCTCAGCAGTGTATTTCAGTCTATCTGCCTGTTCTGCTCCCCACTCTGTCTCAGGTGAATCCTCTCAGCCCCCACACCTCTGGCCTGCACCCCAGTTTTGTATGCATAAATAAAAATAAATCTTTAAAATACATATATAATTTTATAGCATTATATTTATACATTAATTAATTGATTTTAACAATACGCCTTGCAAAGAAACTCAGAAAATATCTATGGGCTAATTTCAGACTCCCTGGGTCCACTGGTAGGTACACTTGGGTTACCACACCACTCATCCCCCAAATGTCCATAAGGTCCTACTTGGAGAGGGTACCACAGTTGCATTCTGAGTCCTTCAGGAAATAGAGCCATACTGAGCTGTCACTCAATAATCACTCAAGTATATTTATATCTATAGTATAATTATTTATGAATAAGAGAGATCTTAAATAAATATAGCACAAAGTCAACATATTTCAACCTAATTGGTGGATGTGTGTGGTTTTGTTATGTCATTTTCTGTATTTCTATGTACTTGAAATATTTTATCAGATAATTTCAAAGGAAAGGACTGGCTGAGATATATCCAAATGCTAAATAGAAATATATCTGACTACTGTATGGTGAATGTTCTTTACTTTCTTGAATATAGTTTTCTGACTTTTCTACAATGACAATGTATTTTTTTATAATTACATCAAAAAATAAGCAAAGGTAGATTCATTTTATAATAATATTAAAGTCACCAAAAGTCTACTTTATCTAAATTAATCTTCAATATTTAGATGCCTGTTAATCTAAACCAAGTCTCTGTATGTTAAAAATTGCCTAACTTTACTAGTAAGTAGATCATTTGATTTATTACATCAAAGTTTATATTTACAAAATAAACATCCCTTTTTGTCTTCAGTCCTTAGAGATAAAAGTCAAAAATAATTTATGCATGTCTGTCATTATCTTTATAAATAAAATGTCATTTCCTATAAATCTCACACTATTAAGATAATGGTTGAGGGGTGCAGAGATATCTAGATGTATTTCTTAGAAAACCCACATTAATGACTCCACCACAGATCTTCTCTAACTTCCCCTATTTAGTATTTCATGTCTAATCTGAAAATAGAACTGATCTTCAGAGACCTTGTAATTTATCTTTTACCATGATTACAATTTCTAATCTAGCCAGCAGCAGCTCAAATTGAACTCTGATCCAAATGATCAATAGCCATGTGCGACCCATTAGATGTGTGAATATTAAATCGTTTTTGTATAAGAGCTGTCCAAATGAAAAGCATATAATTACCATCTATTAACATATATTGAAGCAAATAACACAAAAATGCAATATGTGAAACATACAGCCCATCAGAATTCCTGTAACTGTGATGCTAATGTTAGATCTTATATTTTACATAGGATTAGTACCAAATTATCATCTATGTTTTTAGTGTTTATTATTAATAATGTTGACTATAAACCATAAAATGGATAAATTTGTGAATGGAAAACACTTAATTTCTGATTGCATTCTTTTTTTCTTTCTTTGGCACTTCTGTAACAAAACTTTTACTAGATATAGCCATGGTCAGTGAGTCCAGGATAATACAATGAGTTTGATAAGAAAATAATTCCAAATACCTAGCTTTTCTTTCATGCTTTCCCTGTAAATTAACACATGTACAGTTATTAAAGCACAAAACTATGTAAAGAGTAGAAGTTATAAAAAATTAATTCAATCTCTTACCTTGAATGTCAGAGAGAGCAGCAACAAAATTCTCCAAACAGTCTATGCATCTCCTTATAAATTTTAACAACATAGTTTGGAAACTTTTCTTTATAAAAACCTAACTCCCTAGTGTTCTAAGGTAAACCTAGACAAATAACCTTTTATGGCCTATTTCCCAGCCTCCCCAGCAGTTAGCTGAGAGAGTTTTTTGACTGCACTCAGACAAAGGCTATAAGAAAGATGATGTAATCCACTTCCAAGCCTGTCCTTCGAAACATCTCATGAGATCCTCTAGGCATGTCCTCATTGCAATGGTGAGACCACATGTTCCAAATGAACTAATTCTAAGATACAGTACTATCACCAAGTTGAATGTTTATGAAAATGACATTTACTATAGCAACCTTCTGAGTTTTCTGGGTTTGCTTGTGACTAAATTACAGCCTAACCTGGGTCCAAAATTCACTTCCATTTCCATTCTTTCCTGCCCCCCAGTCCAGGTCCTTCTTTTCTTTCAGTGCTTATAATTCAGGAACAGAAAAGCGAGGTCTTCTGCTTCAACACATTTCAGTCTTATTTAGCAGACGAGCAAGGAGCTACCTATTCTGGTTTTATTGGGCAAGGCTATTACCTAAATTATTGCCTTTGCTTCTTCTATGATTTTTTTCTCTGGTAAATGTTTTCCCTGAGAAGTTTATTAAAATTACAGGAAAATAGAAATCTAAATTCCACCTTCTAGTCCCTGTTTCAGTGCTTTAACTTTCTCAGTGATTGTATGATGAGCTTTCCCGACTTTTTTTGCATTAAGATTCCTTTCACTAACCTTTTTCTGAGTGATCGTTTAATAAGATTTGCCCACTTTCTTTGCATTAAGGCTCCACTTTTTTTTACAAAAAATCTTTTTACACAGGAACCATTTCAACAAATCTGCCATGTAGAACTAGAGTCTTTCAAGCAAGATAAAGATTAGCCTGACCTTTCTTACATCAATTAATCAATACGGTTACACCACAGATTTACCTTTCAACCTTGGTGTTTCCACAGTGTAATATTAAAGCATGATTTGTGAGGTTGTTCTATTTTTTATATAGTTAAGAACAACCCTCTGTCTGTGTGCTTTGATGAAGTGTCAGAGCATAACACAACACAGGAGAGAAAGGAGGATTTTATTGTCTTCATTGAAAACGGCTTTGTAAATCTAAGATTGAGCAGCAGTGCCCACAAGCTAGCTGATTGAAATTAATTCCTAAGCTCTGTTTGCAGATTCATGCTGCTGGAAAGGCCATTGTTGGGGAATGCTCTGAAGGGTAGAATCATTTGATCTGAATTTCAGATAGGAATATGTCTGTTGACAATATCAATAGCCTCTTCCCCATCATTGAAGCCTATCCCCAAGAAAAACAAAAAGGGTTGCTTCATTCTCTCCTGAACCTGCAAATGACATTTCCTTTCTACTCTAGTCTGTTTCACAGGTGAAGAATTTAGAGAAGATAAAGATGCTGAAATATCTCTGAATATGATCAATTCCTTTCACTGAATCCACTTCGTAGCAAAGAACACTACCACTGTAGCCTCAGTGAGGGGTTTATAGACAGAAAAATTTCCCCACCAGATCACAATGTGCATCTCCTTAAAGAATTGTAGACTCTCTTTTTGCCCATATCATCCATCCGTTTGGTTTTACAAAAGAGAAAACTGAGCTCCAGAAAATAGTATTTTGACCCAGGTCCTACAGATATTTTGTAGCAGACTCAGATTGTGGAAACCAGTTCTCTAAAATCAGTGCAATTTCTCCCCACAATGCCAAGCAATCACATTAGTTCTTAAGAATGCATTTAATTCTACAACGATATTTGCTAACTTACCACTTCTTTAGAAGCCAATAACAAAATTTCCTGTGAACATTGTACATTTTCTTGGTGCTTGCTTGGCAGTGATTAATTTTCTCTTGGCCATCCAGATGCACCTTGAATCAAAAGAAAATCCAAATTACAGCTCTGCCACTAAGCAGTTGTGCACCCTTAGCAACATATTCAGCATCTTTGTGCCTTAATGTTCTCTTTGGAAAAATGAAATAACTACATTGTGGGGTTGCCTAAAGGGTTGAAAGAGTAACATGTAAAGCACTTAAAATTGTATGTGGCATACAATAAACATGATATATTAGCTCACATTATTCCTTCCATTCCTTTCTCAGATTTTTCAGTGAATCGACCATCATTTTAAGGCCCACTGATATTTTTTCCATTGTAAATCCTAAGTGTTTTATTATTCTTGATTGCCTTACAGTGCACCTACTGCAGAGTTCCTGTACTTCATTTTAAACATATGGAAAAGGTGCCCTTTTATATATGTTAAAAAGAAGAGAACGTCAATATCTATAACTGTACTCCTAATTCTTTTAGGGATAATTCACAAAGAGTTAAGCCATTTCATTCCTAGGTCATGGTACAAAAGTTGTTGAATGAATTTCACTTTACTTTTAACCTTTAAATTATGAGAAGCACCACTGAATTCCCAGATCAAGTACCCTGTGATCAGTGCACAAAGCGAACTTTACTATGGATTCTGTGGTGTTTCAATGGCAACTCAATCATTAAGTTTCCTTTTAATAACAGAGCAGTACCTTTCTCTTGAACCCAGTTTGACCAATCATTAAAATGTGTCTGGTTTAGTTAAGGAATGCTCTTAGACAATGTGAAATCCCAGGCTGTAATCACAGATTTGAGTTAACTATCCTTATATAGCTAAAGGGACCTTCTCCTTTTAAGGATCTTGAAACAGTTTATGCCTTTTAATAAATTCAGTGTTGCTGACTGGAGTATCAGTTAATTTTTTAATGAATTTGAAATTATAATGGTTTAAATAATATAAAGGAAGGATAAAACTAAGTACAAAATCATATAGAGTAAAACATACTGTAGACTTGCTCAGTTTCCAAATTGAGGACAATTGTTTAAGGAATTGTAAACCCTAAGAACATCTCTCCTTTGAGATACCAGGATGGCATCATTTTCTGGCATCTAGTAAGACGGGAGTGGTTTGCATGCATGTTTGTGAATGTGTGTGTGTGTGTAAATAGAATAACCCAGACTGTATAGCATAAAGAATCATTTTGAAAACTGGTCTAGAATATATGGAAAGACAATAACACTCCAGTGCTTTTTTTGTGGGAAAGAATGATTAGAATTTTATTCAAAACAAAGTAGTAGTTGTATATTGTTTAAGGATTTTTGTTCTGTTTTGTTTTTAAATAGGAACACACATTCATGAAGTACCAGACTACCAGTTCTGCTCAATATCCCCCAAAACAAACCTACCAAGAATATTTTGCATAGTTATCCCTATTTTCCCACTGAGGCCCAAGGAGACTTCAGCACTATCCCCTGGCTACTGTAGTACTGAGCACAGAGGACTGAGACAATATGTTACTGAAATCCAAGCTAGATATGAAAGCCAGGTGATGCCAAAACTTAGCTGTCAGAACCTTCTTCTATCCTCTATTTTATGATTCTAGAAGAGCGTTTGTCTCTCTCACTTCGAATGAGGTTACCTTAGCAGATAAGTTCTGAAAATGATGAGCTTGAGGTTTAAAAATAAAATTCAAGGATGTTCTTAATAAGGTTATATACTACTAGTCCATAGTTTTCTGCCAAGTTGTATGTCAAATGTCTCATTGGGGACTTATTGTGTACATTTTGTTTAGATAGTAGTTTTAGAAATATGATCATTTTATAGAATGGACAGACACAGGAATGCAAATAAAAGTGATAAAGTAAAAAAAAAAAAAACAAAAAACTTTTGCCTAATAGAGTTCTCGAAAATTACAAGGCATAACAACTATTAGAGTGGGAGTGTGGAAATGGGCAATCTCACTCGTTGCTAGAGTGAGTGTAGATACTGCTCCTTTCTTAAGAGAGGGAATCTGGTAATATATATTAGGGGCCAGAGAAGTATGTTAACACCAAACCATAGATTCCACCTCTAAGGCTTTAACTGGCTAAAGACACAAAAGCTCAAGAATCTATAGTTTGTAAAAGTAAAAATTCTGAAATAATATTAAAGAAACAATAATAAGTGTTATTTTAATTAGGTACATTTATCCAGTGGAACACTATGTAAGTAACAGAAATGATTATGCAGATACCCATTTACAAATTTGGAAGGATCTCTGAATGATCATTAAAAACAGCACATTATAAACCAAATTGTAATGTGAGGCAGATATAAGAGGGAAATAAAAACAGTACATAGATAGGTATGAATTGAAAATACATACCATAATGCTATACTGCCTTTGAATATTGAGTATTTAGGCAGTTGATGTTTATTTATTCCAAATATTTCTACAATTAACATATATTACTTAAATATACATATTTAAGAAATAAAGTAATAACTTTTGAATGATGTCATCACATGCACTTCAATTTATTGGAATAAAAATAGTTTCATTCTTTCTTATTTGTATGTCATTGTTAAGAATCCTTAAGAGAAGATAAAACAGCAGAAAGAAGGAAAAGGGGGTAAAGAGAAGTGAGAGAGAGGGAATGAATAAATAATGCAATGGTTCTTTGCATGCTTAAAACTGTCAGGTTTAAGTTGAACTGACTATTACACTAGAGTTTGTTTAAACTTTTAAACTTAACTTCTACAAGTTTCAAGATTTTCAATCTATAAATTGAAAGGCATAATAATATTTATAGGATTGTCAATGAGGAGTAAGTAAAGGCATGGGTCAGAGTGCTTTGCTCATGGAGAGAATGTGATGCATGCCTGAATGAGCAGGGAACATGTACTAGACTCGGAGCTAAATACTTTATGTATATTATTACATGTTATTGTCCTAAAAACCTATCACACAGTCATTTATCTCCATTCTGCCAATGAAGAGAATTTAAGTAACTGGCTCAGAGCCACAGAATAGCAGGTGGGGATTGCCATGTAGCGGCCCATAGGGATCCTACATATTAGCCTGGCAAACTAACCTCTCTGGCCCTCCCTCACTCTTTCCTCCTTCTCCTGTTCCTCTACCTCTCTCCAGAAAAGAGAACCACAGATCACTTAAAAGCAAATTTCAAATTTTACCCTGAAAAAATGCTGGCATTCAAACTCTCCAGGAAACTCATTCAACTCTACAAGCTAGTCTTGAATACATTCAAATGCACAGGAAAGATGGCTATAGAATATATTCTTATTTCTTGTGTACTCTTGTACAATCTTCTCTTTTTGGAGTTAATCTTTATGTGTTTTATTTTTTCATTGCAGATGTAATTTGATTCTAATACGCACATGCTTGCTATGTTTTCCTATAAATATTCTCTAATACAGTCCAAAAGAATAACTTTCTGATTTTTTCTTGTTGTTGTTCTTTTTTTCAACTCATCGACTCATCCAGAAAGTTTTTTATCCTAAATCTGTTCAGAAATAATGATACTTCTAGAATATAGAAATCTTAACTCCAAAATAACATGGTGTAAAATAAAAGACCTGATCCAGACCCAAAATATTCTGGATGTAATCTACCAATTTTTCTTTCCATTATAAATGGTATGTAAATATGTATATGCATAATCATGATTCAGTGCTTCAAAAGGGTGGTTATATATCAGACAAGTGCCCTAGGGCTTTATCACAACAAGCATGTACTGTGAACTACAGTGGTGACATGACTCTGATAGAACATCAGTATCAAAGCAACTGCATAAAACTTATAAGAATGCAGCAGGCCAACCTGGAGCTAACAAACAGTTCTTCCCAGCCCAGAAAACCCACCATCACAGCAAACGCGGCAATATGTATCATAGAAGATCAACTGAAAATCATTTTTAAGACACTTGGTAGTTAGATTGATTTGGATATTTAAGCTTCTGCACAGATATGGCTTATCCTTTGTTACTTTATTCATTCTATTTTTGTTATCTATATACTCCACCTTACAATCCTATAAAAGCTGAATCTCAAAATTATACTCATCCTCTTTACATGGGGCATTTCTTTTACAGAACCTGTCCTGTCCAGACCCATGCAGCTGCTATTATCTTCTATGTCACCTGTTGTATTCTACTTGCCTGAGAGGTCCACAATCCTTAAGCTGGATTTGGAGACTTTAGATTCTAAAGCACAGTAATACCACAGCATGAACCACAGTTTACACAGCATAATCCAGCAGTCCTGCAGAGCCATGCTCAGTGGTTACAAATGATTGTGTTAATGACACGATCTTTTTAACTGTGACATTAGAAGGTTGCATTTTCACTTGATGGAAGAAAGGAATATGTACACAAATAATCAACAAGAAAAGTCTTCCTTACCCCAAAACTAAAATTTCCTGTTTGAGAAGAAAAGGTTTCTTCAACAAACTTCAATATGTACAGAGGCCTGGTACCAAGAGCCAATATCTTTTTCCAGACTAATCACTAGACAAGAATGGGTTATAAATTCCCTTATATCATACAATTTTATACCACAAAATAAACATTAGGCAAAGAGCTCTGTAAGTACCTAGATTAAGTCTTACAACAACTGGCAAATCACTAATAACAGGTCTTTTGTTCCTTTCACAAGCGGTCAAAAATAATGAATAATAGAAAGCTACACCAAATCAACTAACAGAAGGTTCACATAAGATCATTTAAAACAGGAGAAAATGATGCTTGAAATGGTCTCTGATGAGATTTTGCTTTATCCTAAGAGATTCTAGATAGTATTCTGCTGCAGCATTTTAAAAACCAGTTTCCAAAATTGGGCACCCTCATTATCATTCATTATGTTAGCACTCTCCACTTAGGTTGCTTTGAAAAAAAAAATGACACTCCAGTTGTGTTTTTACATTAAATGCACCTTCTCTCACATTTGATCTCTCCCTTTGTGACAGACATTTTATTTCACAGCTCCGACATCCTTTTGTCTCTCTTTTACTGAATGTGTGGTTTCCAAATTATGCAGAAATGGCCACTTTTGGTG